TCTCTCTCTCTCTCTCTTTCTCACTCACTCATTCATTAAAGTTGTAGCTGATTTGATTTTTCAACATGTTGGTGCTCTAGTCTGTTTATGTGAGTGTGTGTACACGAATGTGGGTCTGAGAGTGTTAATGATTATCATTGTTTATTTGTGTTCTTTTAACATAATATGTGTGTTTGTGTTTAGGGGTTAGCTCTCTTTTCTCGTCGTTCTTTTGAAGTTGAAAAGGGCACTCGTCATATTATGTCACTTCGTTGCAAGATCTCTGAATTTTCATTGGTTGCTTCTTACTTTATTCATAACTAGCTGGGTCCCCTTTCGATGAAAGGAATGATCAGTGCATTAGCATCAACTGAAAGCCTACTATATTTACACCCTACTGGAATGGAGCAATACATCTTGAGAGAAAAGTGACACATGTGTTTCCAAGTTGCCAAACATATAATAGATGTATAGATTGATTCTCTATTCCGTTTTCGGGGCTGTACAATGTAAACTCCAGAATTTCAAAGGTACGGAACCTGTGCGCACGGCTAGTGAACGGGTAGCTCACTTGTTTACAATGGCGTCTTAGAAGACGGGCTTTCCCAAGATTAGATCTAAACGAAACTAATGAAAAACTGAAAATTACACCGCAGTGACTTCAGGCTCCTCAATGAAACTGTGCACCCTTTAAATGATTCTTAACCACCATCAATTTTGTCCAATTCGAAAGTCAAGTGGTTCAGAAGCTTTAGGCGGCCAAAGTGTGAACTTTCACAAATATAATACATTTTTTGTATATAGAGATTAAATCTTTGCGCGCAAAACAAACAAACACACTGACACAATCTAATAACAAACTAACAAATTAACACAAACCTCGCTACATTGACCTTGACTCTCTTTGTGTATTTTTGTCGTCTTGGTTTCGAACTAGCGAGGCTTGAACTTGAAGTTTGTTATGCTCATGTCTGGCGATTCTCCAGTACAGCGTCACACTACACACAAAAAGCCCGAGATGCCATCTCTCTCTCTTTCTCTTTCTCTCTCTCTCTCTCTCTCTCTCTCTCTCTCTCTCTCTCTCTCTCTCTCTCTCTCTCTCTCTCTCTATCTCTCTCTCTCGCCTTGTCATAAACTTCTGTTGTACCCTCTTTTGTACACGCCTTTTATCCCGAACCTGCCATCTTTGTCGTAACGGTTTTGTTCCATTTTGTCAAAACTACACAAGACTCGAAGAGTCGTCTTCAAGTGGCCGCTGAAGAGGGGACAAAAGAATGGATATCATATCATGTCACCTTTCTCCACAAAGAGCATTTAGCCGTATAATGGTACACTGAACTAACCTGCCTATTGCGCGTCTGTGATTTTCAAAAGCATGAAGTGCCCAGACAAGAGGGGTACAACAGTTGGAAGCCTGACAGTCCTGTATGACCTCTAGTTTGTTATGCTCCACTGGTAAAATAGACGGGAACTGTTTTGTTCAGAATGGGAAGGGTTGTATGTAGGTGCGAATGCGAGTGTTTTTAAGTATGAATTAGAGTACTCGCGTGCGAATGTGTGTGTATGTGTGTACATGTATCTGTATGAATGCGTGTGTGTGTGTGTGTGTGTGTGTGTGTGTGTGTGTGTGTGTGTGTGTGTATTTGTGTGTGTGTGTTTGGGTGTTTGTGTGTTTAAGTGTATGTATGTATTCCTCTGTCTTTGTGCATGTTTATATTGGTTGATTTGGTTGGGGAGTGGGGGGCGGGGGCAGCACCTTGGCAGAGTGGCAACGCCTAGTCTCTCTCTCTCTCTCTTTTTTTTAAAGAATATTGTTACTCCACTCAGTGTCGTGATGGGAACTTTGTTCGCTGCTCGGTCTTCAAAATCCGTCACAGACTCAAGTAAGACGTAGGCAAAAACAAACAAAAAAACAACAACCTCACAACCCCCCCCCCCCCCCAAACAAAACAACAACAAAACTAGTAGTGCCAACGAGTGATTCAATTTAAAGCTTTAGAACAATCTCTTTAATCCGTAATGTGTTGCAAGAGCAAAATCAAGTTATACTAAATAAAAAATCATCAGCGAGGGATACAATAGTAAAATTTCAGGGGGAAAAGGTTGTGTTTATTTGCTAATGTCGGTGAGTAACCCACCCCACAGCCATCTCCTCGAAAGATTTGTGCGCCAGTGAGAAACATAGTTACTCCCTCTTTCACACGACATGTTGCTTTCAATACTGGACACGTACAATCAAGGTTACCGTCCCTTAAGACAACGAGGATAATTTTTTGTGTGTTTTGAGTATAAAAACTTGTTAGTAAACCCCTCTGGTAAAATCTGGACTTTGTTCCCTTTTTAAATATTATTTTTTTACCTTCAAACAAAGGATTCTCTGCTTTGGTATGAGAACGTATTTCTCTCCTGTCGTTTTGTAACTAAGCTCGAGATTAACGTTTACCCGCCAATATTTGGAAAGCAAATCTGTCTCTGTAACAAACGAGCTTTTGGTACGTTCCCCCCTCTGTGGTCAGTGAGACCTTCTCCACTTAGTGAAGTCAACTGTGAAAAACACATAGTTAGCTATTCAACTCTGTGCTCTTGTTCTGGTTTCTGGATGAACCCGTCTGCTCCCTGACTCTGCCACTCTCATCTCCTCGATATTTGCTGTCTCGCGTCTGTTCAGTCCACCGCTCATTCATTCCGAGACACGCCTCCCACCACCCAGCTCCCCGTCTTCCCCCCTCACACGCCCCGATTCCTTCGTTTTTACCTGTCAACCTTGTCCCCTCTGCCTCCACGCCGCTTCCCCACCTCTTCCCCCTCCTCCCCTCTCTGCCCATCATCCACGCGTGCCTCGCTCCTGTCGCCGGACCTCCTACCCTCGCTGGCGCTCGCGACTTCGGCAGGAGCTCTCAGTAGCACCATACAAGCAACCAGGCTCCCCACCCCCACTGTCTCTCCCCCTCCCTAC